TGATGATGGTATGAGCAAGAATGCAATTACTACTCAATACAGAGCATTATTTTTTGAAATATATGATCATATTTTAATGGAAATGGATATAGGTTTTCAGGATTGTGATAAATTAAAATTCGTAAGCTTAGCAGATACAACAAAATTTGAGTCATATAGTTTGACCTTCCCTTCCGACGCTTTTCAAAATTTATTTGAGTTTTATGGCACACAATTTACTAAACATCAAAGACATAAAAGTGAGCTCTGCCTTCTTTATGCCGACGAAAATTATAAAAATGTTAATTTGCAAGAATTGGTTATAAAGTTACAACCAATTAAAGACATTGTTGCAGAAGCCTATAATTTGTTTTGTTTAATTCTGACAATTCCATCGACAAGCGTATCCGTAGGAAGAAGTTTTTCGTCATTAAAAAGGTTAAAAAGATTTACAAGAAACACTATTTCACAAGATAGACTATCCAGTTTGACTATTATCGCACTTCATAAAGAACTGTTGTATAAACTTATGCAGAATCCACCTTTTTACGAGGATATTATTGATAGATTTGCCACCTTAAAAGACCGAAGGATCGACTTGATTTATAAAAACTAGATAAGTCAGTTCTAGTCGTCTATCTAATACTGCTTTTTTGTTTAAGTATCTCTTCACCCTCGGTTCTAGTATCATTGCCATAATCATTCCGCAACCTCTTGCATCCAATTTTGGATATAATTCTCCTCCATATTCTTCCATTGTTCTCTATCTTGCGCCATCTGTATCGAATTTCCCACTGTTTTTCTCAAGTCATCCATCCATCTTTTTGGTGGTCTACCTCAGTGTCTTTTATCTTCTCTAGGTCTCCATTCTATGAGTCTTTTGGTCCACCTATTATCATTTAAACGTGCTACATGTCCAGCTCATCTCCATTTGGCTTGTGCAATTTTTTCTATGACATCTGTCACTTTAGTCCCCCCTCTCTCTCTCTCTCTCTCTCTCTCTCTCTCTCTCTCTCCCTCTCTCTCTCTTTGTCATCCCGTGAGAGCTTGTTGGACCTCTATCGGGCGCCTCTCCAGGTGGAGGATAGGGGAATGAGTCCTAGCTATAGGTGGTACATAGGAAATGAAATAATCGGAGCGGACCAAAACCAGTATACACTGCAGTGTCTGATCCAGAGTGATTGGCTGCAATGAGCATCTGACCCAGAGTAGGAGGCTGAATCGAAACTCAACAAACCCGTTTTACCAGGAGTGGTGTTTTAATCGCCAAAAAACCCTCAATGAAATGTCGAAGGTTCAGAACTAAAATACTCCAGGCAAGCATAACGAATCGTATCTAGTATAAGTACCCTAAAAATCTGTTTTCAAGTTATTAGAGCCCTAAACTCTGTACATTTTTTTAACGATTTTTTAATGAGATTTGGGCGCGACGTAGGTCCCAAAACTCCTTTTTTCTCCTGCAAGGTTTCCTCGTCTTCACCACTTTTTTAGGCCACGAGCCGCCACTGTATGATTATAGCGAGCACATTCGAGGAGTTACAAATTATAATAAAGAACTCGCAGATAATTCTCAATACATCGGCCTGAAAATGAATACCTATGACAAAAAAAAGCAATGGCAAATACAAATGACCACAGAGATATAACTACAAATGGCAGTGAGACAATACAAGTTCAGGAATATATCTACCTAGGCCAAATTCTGAAAATTGACAAAGAGACCAAAGTGCAGAAATCACTAGAAGAGCAAGACTGGCATGGGTAAGATTTCTAAAAAACTCAGTTGGATCCTTAAGAACTACAAAATAACTCAATACTTGAGCAGCAACGTGTTTAACCAGTGCACTCTTAATATTATGACATATGGATGTTAAACCTGGACTCTAACCAAAGCAAATATAAATAAACTATCCACAACAGAAAGGACAATGGATAGAGCAATGTTAGGTATATGAAAACTGTAGTTATATACTGTCAGATAAAAAGTGGAACGACTGGGTGAGATCAAAAACAAAAATGTCAAACTCAAATGGAGCTTCACAGGTCAATACTGCTAGACAAAAAGACCAACGTTGGAACGCCAGAATACAACATTGCAGACCTTAAAATGGTAGACGGCCAAGAGGAAGACCACATATGAGATAGTTAGACGACATAAAAAAATAGCCGGAACAAATTGGAATAATGTTGCTCAGGATAGAGATCGATGAATGTTATATTTTTTAGATCACTTTTAGATCTTTTTCTGCTTCGTTAAACGCAGCTGTATTGGTTGGTGTTCAATTGTTTTGCTAAGTCCTTCTAAGTTTTCTATGATCTCCAATTTTTGTTTAGCTTGCTCAGGATAGAGCTTTCCGTTAGATTTATTGTTGGGTGTGTGGTGGATTCCCAGCACGCATTCTGTATACATGTAGTGAGATTATCCATTGCAGTGCACACTGCACAGGTCACTTTCTGTCTTTATACGTAAGTTTATGTTTATGTAAGGTATTAGTAATGTTTCTTTAAAGATATTCCCATTTGGTTTTAATGAATACAGCGTAGAAGGTCTAGGTAAATAAATTATTTTAGAAGACAGGGTGGGAAATACTGGCGAGTGATCGGACTTTAAGTCGTAGAATGATTTAGTTGTTAAGTGATTATTTGTTACAACTCTGGTTATACAGAAAACAAGGTAGTATGAAAGTTTTCTTCTATCTGTCGGCCAATATGTAGGTTCACCTGCAGAGTGACTAATGAGGTTAATAATAATAGTTTAAGAAGTGGTTATCTGCCACGTGGAATCATTAATCTAGATCTCCAAAAATGATACTGGAATGGGGACCAAGAGATGATGCCTACCGAAGCAGAGATCATTCATCAACACGTTGGACTGACGATCTATAACGTTGCCATAGGAAGATGCAAGAGGCACAAGATCGAAACAAATGGAAAATTATGCGGGAGATATATGTCCACCAGTGGACAAGCGAAAATTGAATGATCAATACTGCTTTTGATAATCATAGTAGAACATCCGTGTGCAGTAGTATCAGGATGATGACGAATATGTACTAAAACTACAACTTGACGTTGTAGCGTTCTCTAGTTAGCTTCATTTGCAGTCTCTAGAATTATTTACTGAATTTAAGTTGTACTTCCTACTGACAATTTAATTTTAAGGTTTTTAATTAAATTGATATAGGTAATTTAAACAATTAACCGATGATTCGAAATAGTATTTGTTCTCCGTGTTCTTTGTTATTTTCACATAGTGTCTTTTTTAATCAGCAACTGCAAAAATTTATTGCATGTCCTTGATCAGTTTCAACATTTATTCAAATAAATACTGAGCAGCTTCATATAATTTAAATTTTAAAATGTATTTTTTTAAAAGTATCACGCGGAGTTTTTAATTTTAAAGACCAGTGCTTTTAAATCATATCTTGTTCGATCTAGACAGTTTGTGGTAATTCTTCATACTGGTGGTGAGCACTATGAAAAATTGTCCCACTTTAAAGAAAAATTAACGAGTCTCTGAGTTTTTCTTAAATTTTGACGCAATCCCTGATAACGACTCTGTTAAGTTTTTATTTCGCTACTCGATATTATGTAAATAAATCCGTAGAAATTATTCATACCTTTTGTTTGTCATCGTCCAGGAAACTTAAATCTAGTTCCTCATCATAATTTTCATGCAAGCGAATCTTATAAGTATTCACTGTATCAGCGTTCATTTTGGCATATTTGTGACAAGCTTTTTCAAACATTCTCTTCTTCTCTAAGTAAATTTTACGGTTTTCGTCGTTATAACGATTGTAAGGACCCATTTTATCTTCATCAGATCTAATTTTTGATAAATGCGCAATAATTTCCTTGTGAACTTCTGAATGTGTAAGAATAATTTTTTTATTTGAACACATTTTAAAAATTACTTTTCACCAATGGCAGTGACAATAAATTATATTTTTAGCTTCTTGTCAAATTTAATTTTTAAACAGATAATTAAGTGAAGGTAATAAATATTGTTTTTAAGCGGTAAGACAAAGTATGACAAAGTGTCGTAATAATATTGAAAATGAACAAGTCATTCAAACCGTTTAATTTAATTTAGAATCTAAACTACAAATCAAATTTAAATGGTTTATTTTTTATCAAATATAATTAAAATTATTGTTTTCGAAATAGTCACCAATCTGGAATCTGAAGCACCAAATAAAGTGTAAATTATATAAATATGTGTTGTATATATAATATATACATAATATATGCACAAATATATTTTCCTTGTTTCGACATAATATGTGCGCTGGTGTTTCTATTGACTGTACAGTTCATACAGTTATCGAAAATATAAAGTATAAAATCAAAAGCAGAAAACTAATTTTCTCGGAAAAAGTATATATATTATACAGTGTGGATATTAATTCTTACCCCCCTAGTGAACTCCGTAACGCTCGGACCCGTCAATTTTTATTTTAATAGAAGTATTTTATAACATAAAAAAATTGTCACCCATTTCATCCCCTTCACTTGACAGCTACCCCCTTAGATTTTTTAAATAGCAATGCGGGTCGTGCGATAGTTCGTTGGAAACGGTTTGAAAAGAAGAATTCTAAAATCTATCACACTTTACTTTAACTTTAAGGATCTGGTTGTTAATAACGATTTATTGTTTCGAGATACGGGACCGCCGCTAAGGTATTGGCCGCTCGTGTGCAACTTAATATTTACCGCCCCCTTCCAACACTTTAGACATACATACTATTATTTAAAGAAATGTGCAGAAGATGCATAATATAACAATAATAATTTGTAAATAGATAAATACTTACTTGAACATTTAGACTAATCTCCATGATCCAACGTCCATATATTATCCTAATGTATATCCTAATATCCCAATATCCTAATTTAAACGTCCTTTATCCTAATTTAATAACCATGATCCAACGTCCAGAATATGTATATCCTAATATCCTAATTTAAACGTCCATTTAATTAAAATAAACCGTGAATAGAAACATAAACAAATAAAAAAACTAAAAACGCACTTTTCGGGCTTTCGTCTCAGAAACCTTTTTGACAATATCTTTAATGTCCAATGTGGCACACACGTCATGTTCTATAGATAACATTGCTAAAGCAGAAAGTATATCTTGCTCCATTGAGGATCGCAAATAGTTTTGAATAATCTTAAGTTTTGAAAACGACCGCTCACCCCTAGCTACAGTAACAGGTAGAGTTAGGAATATACGTATCATTATAGTTAAGTTGGGAAATGTTGATATAAGACTATTGTAAATAAATTCAAGAATATCACTAGTACTTTTTTTCTGCGAAAAAAAAAATGGTTGAATAGCTTTAATTTTTTCATATAAATCGGTTGCACTAATGTCAGTCTCTGAGCTGCTTATGTTTGTAAGGGCTTGATTCACTTTCTCACAATTGGTTTTAAGTTCATCATCGTTTTTAACTTTGGTTATGCCATATATTACACTAAAAATGGCTGTGTGCTGTTGAAGTAATTGGAACCGTTCTTCAATTGCTGTTATGGCAGCATTCGAAATCTTATACTAAAAATTTATTTTAAATGACAATTCCGGAGATAATATAGGTTCATTAGCTCCTTCATACTTAAAAAGCACTTTTCTTCTTCTAATTCGTTCGGTAGGGGAGCTAGGGAAATCTTTTTCTATGCTAGCTTTTTGAAAAATTTTGAAAATGTTCATCAGAACGTTTGATTATGAAATATTTTTTTACATTATCAAGTACATCAAATGAAAATTTAATGTCAAATTTTACTTTGAAGAATTTTGCTAACCACGTTTATTTTACTTAAAATATCTTGCTACACTACAACAGAACACATGAATTTGAATTTCCAAATTTTATTTTTAAGGGATTTTGATAAAGTCCTAGTATTCATATCCCTTGTGTTCATTTCGCAATTCTTCTAAAGTATCATATATTTCACTAATCTGGGTTTTTAATGATGCGATTGCATCGATCCGACTCTCCCATCGCATGTCCGACAATGTTTTTAATGTCAACTTTGGAAGGTGCTTTAATAAAATGTTTAATCTAATATTGGGCTCAATATCCAAAATTGGGCAAATAATCATTCTCCACCAGATTTAAATTATGCGCAGAACAGGGAATAAAAAATGCTCGAGAATATTTGTCTGCAAAATTTTCTTCTGCAATCCAATATATTTACCACGTATATTGGCTTCATTATCGTAACCCTGTCCACGCAAAATATTAATATTTATATTATTCAGTTTATTTTCTATAAATTTAAACAGACCTTGTCCAGTTACGTAAGTTACAGGAGAAAAGCACAAGAAGTATTCAATTATCTGAACTGGTGTTGAAGTTGAAACACATCTTACTACAATTGTTATTTGTTCTACGTTCGTTATATATGGGGTACAATCTAATATGATAGAAAAATATTTAGATTCTCGAATTTGTTTTAGGATAACGTCCTGAACAGAGTTTGTCAATAAAACAATCATTTCATTTTGATGTTGCCGTCCTAAATAATGTGGTATATTTGTACTCTTGGATTCCACACGACGAAGATGCTCTGATAATACAGCGTTAAACTTCGAAATCATTTCAACTAACTGTCAATAATTTCCATTATTTGGTTCAAATAACTTATTGGACGATCCTCTAAAAGCTAAACATTATTTAGATAAAAATTTTACAAATGATACTAATCTTTCAACAACAGCGCCCCAATGTTTTTTTCTCACTTTCATATAGTTTTTGATGAGCAGAGTCAATCCTTTTTTTAATGCTGTAGATAGTTCAAATAGTTTTTGAGAATATTTTATATGAGCTGCACCGGATTCATATCTTTTTAAAATAATAGCTTGCCAGTCACTTACCCCATTAATTCCACTAAGTAATTGTCGGCTGCTTTTATCACAACAAAACAGTTTGCAAGGTGTACAAAAAACAATATTTAGTGATAATGAGTAAAGTAATCACGGGCGATGAATTTGGTCTTGATTAGGTAATGTGCGATAATAATAAGTTTCTGAAAATTTCCTATTATTTATCCACAAGGAATCTACGTTCCTGTAGTTGGCTGTATACCACATATTAAAAAATTTATTGGAAATCTTTTGTAAATGGTATCTATTAAGAACCCAAATGGGCTAAGGTAAACAGACAAAACGTTTTCGGAATCCATATTCCATCATCAGTGTCTAAGAGTACATGAATGTAGCCACTAAATATATGGGTAAAAACCCGTTAACAAATAATTAATTACATTTAGTTTACAAAATTTCTTATAATGATTTAAGATGTTAAAGTTACCGTTGGATTAGGTACTTCAACGTGGAGTCATATGTCGCCATGTTACCTAATCCAACGGTAACTTTAACATCTTAAATCATTATAAGAAATTTTGTAAACTAAATGTAATTAATTATTTGTTAACTGGTTTTTACCCATATATTTAGTGGCTACATTCATGTACTCTTAGACACTGATGATGGAATATGGATTCCGAAAACGTTTTGTCTGTTTAACTTAGCCCGTTTGGGTTCTTAATATATACCTTTTACAAAGGATTTTTAATAAATTTTTCCGATTATTTGTATCTCTAGGGAAGCTAATTTTTGTAATTTTCTGAGGAAAATTTTCAACAACAAATTGAACTTCACTTGGATTCATATTTGCAGGCCATTTTCCGGGATCATCTGAAACCAAGTGTATGCTGAAGCTTCCTACACTTGAATTCAGATTAACTGGAACATTAATTGTTCTGTCTTGGTTGGTGGTTTCAGGTTCATGCGTTTCAGCATCAGCACTCGCACTATCGCTATTGTTGTCATTAAATCCTCCGTCTCTATCTGCAGGAATATTCAATTGTTTGGTACTTTTTTCTATGGTTTGGACTTTGCTTGAAGTTGAAGGTCCTAAATTTATATCCGAGTCTTCTATATTTTCATGTATGTTTTTCATCAAAATTGATTCCAGTGCACCGCTAAGTTTTTTTTCTCTTCAGTTTTTGTCTCTTTTATTTTTCTATATTGAAAGAATGAAAGTCGTTTTCTTTTTCTTTCGGGCATTTTGAAATTATCACTTAAGAACGAAGCCGGGCGAATTTAACAAAATACATACAAAAACCCTTCAAATAAGTTGTCCAAATAATGTTGTAGCATTTGGAATTTCATTGATTCTTTGGTATATATTGGAATCCCCTCGTATATGTAATATATTGAAATCCCCTCATAAATATTTAAAAAATCGCAGAATATTTTTTAATGTATTTTAGTTTCTTATTTGTACGTATTAGAACACCGAATTCTTTTAATTCCTCTTAGCGTTGCCAAGTAATATAAACCATCTTAGAGTTGTTTATTTATTTCGCAGCTGCGTATTTTTTCTCGATATTCTTTGATTTAAGCCGCCCGATGTACTGCGTTGGAAAAAATTTGCGTTTTAATTCCTGTCAAGTGTTTGTTATTTCAAGTTATGCGATCAATTTTAAAAGATAATTTCTTGACTCTCGTTGGAACTGCGATCAAGAGCGGTTCAGCGTTATGTCCAAATTCATGTCGAATTTGTAAAATTTTCTGTTTTTTTGCCCCTTTTCATAGAAAATGTGTAGCAGTGTGAAGTTAATGGTTCAGTTAATGTTTTGAGTGAGGATTGGAAGAATCGTCGTTTCCATCCTCGTTTTGTTTCTCCCTGGTTATCATCCAAGGCTTTTGGCAGTATGGAGATAGATTTGTTCGTGTGTTCGTTGCACAGAGAGTGAAGCCCAGGTCTACCCCAGTTATGGTTCTAGAAATTCCAGTGACGTCCAGTTACAGAAAATCCAAAGTGTTTTAGTGAAAAATCCAGGTAACATTTTGTTCAAATTTTAAAGTAAAGACAGACAATTTTTTTTATAAAATAATAATTGCTTTCGTTAAAATTTAGAAATTGTAACATTTAAAAATTGTAAATTTTAGGTTTTGAGTTTAGCTGTCATTTTAAATTTTTCTCTTTTAAATTTAATGTTTACATAAGACAGCTCGCTTTATTATTTTTGATTTTCATTTTTTTTTGTTAAAAAAAAGTTAACCTCTGTGCGGTAACATTTGTAAGTTTTTTGTAGTATCTCCAACTCCTAGAGTTTGTAAATGGATGACATGTAAGTTTTTTATTTTTGTATTTTGCGACTATTGAGGTATTATTTTTGTATTATCTTTTTTGAGTATTCTTGTATGCTCTATGTTTTGTAACTGTTTGTGGTAAGATACAATAAATATTAAATTTTGTTTCTTAACATTTATTTATTTTTTTAACAAACCTTTTTTTGAGTTTCGTTTCAAAAAGATATGTTTTTCATTTTTAATAATTATTTCCCTAGTTACAAGTAGTGGTTGTAATAGGTATAATTAGACATATAGTTTGCAAAAAACAAAGCTTTTTGCTTTGTTTATCCCAAGAGATTCATGACCTTTTCTTTCATATTTTTATAGTTGCCCCAATCCAACCCCCTTATCTTTTACTTATCCACGACCCCAGCTCTCCTAACAAACCTTGAGTGCCGTTCGCACAAGTAGCGTTTATTTTGCTTGCCCTATCTTTACCCCCATAGTCTTACCCTGAGGTAGGCAAAATATTTTCGTTACAATGTTTGTCTAAAAAATATGTAGCCGTAACGCGTATACGAATAAAATTGCTCTGATCTCGACGTTACTTCGAAATACAGTACCTACTGTGCAAAAGAAACTACTACATTTTACAAACCAAAATCGTTTATCAAAAGCGTGTCTAAATTCATCGAATTCTTAACTAAGACTGAACATAAGACATAATATTCCATCTACAAACATAACCATAGGAACAACATTATAACAGAAACTTTACAACCACTTGCCTAAATTCTTGTAAAGTATCTACGTGTGAAATACCAAATAACAAATTCAAGCTAGCCGCTTTGAATTAAAAAGTATTCCCGAAACTGCTTTATGACTGTACCTGCAAAAGGGCGGCAGTTCATACAATAAATAATATTTCCTGACATTTTTTTAGTTTAGGATGAAAAAAGAAGTATACATGATAAATGAAACGCATTTGAGTATTATCACGTGCTGAATAATTATTATTGTTTGGAATATTAGAGTTAACAGAATTATCTGAATTATTACCATTTAAGTATTTGAATTTATTTTCATTTTAAAAAAGTATTATCATGAGTGGACTGCTTTTGGCCGCCTCTATTGTTGGCCGCCCGTGTGCGATGCACACTTGGCACACATGGTAGCAGCGGCCCTGTGGAGATACACTTTGCGACACAACAACACAAAAGTAGGTACACTGGTTTTGCTTTAATATGGGACATTCGGTATAACAAAATTTATTTAATTTTTATTCTTGAACGTTTATACCGAATTATTTTTTGTAGAATAAGTGTCGTTAAAACATATCGTGGTTAGAACAATTTTTTAAATAAACTGGTTGGAGCGTCTAGTTTTTGACAACTATCATAAAAACCAAGCAATTAGCACTGTTGATTGTAAAGAATATTGGCAAGAACTTGAGATTTGGTGAACTTTAGTGGTAACTTGTAAATTTTTAATATTCAAAACTGAAAACAATCAAAATGGCACCACCTCGTAGATTAGTAGACAAATGTAAAGCAATTTTAATTAGTGAAGCAGGCCGTAACTACCATGAAGATGTGAGAATATTTATTGAACGTTTTCCGAGTCGTCAAATTGATCGACATTACTATAGACTACTTGTCACCAAATTTTGTGAAACTGGTTCTGTCGAAAACAAGAAACGGGATGGTAGAAAAAAGACTTCTGAGGAAAAGCAAGTAGATATTTAGTCTCAAGTTGTAGTAAATCCATCCAGCTGAACTAGAAATGTTGCTCGCGAATAACATATTTGTTTTTCCGTAAACGTAAGATATTGGTCTGAAAAAACCCTCGATTGTTTCGAGAGTGTCATACTCAATTTCCCACTAAATTAAATGTTTTGGCAGGTATATTACCCGACAAGCCATGATACTAAAACAAACAAGATATGCTCACTTGCCGTTCTAATTTTGATCGACTTTGCGCATCGCGTCATACTGAGACAAGGCCAGGGGACTTGTTTGTATCATATTTTAACGATGCAACATATGGCAACGTTGTTCCATTACTGTAATGAACAACTTCAAAACTTAAACTGTTAACGGTAAGTATACCTCGATGCCATATCTTGCACTAAGAAGTCATAACTAGTTAACTTTCTGTGAAAACGTGTTTTGAAAATTAATAAGTAATTTGTAAAATAATTAAAGAAATATATGAATCTACGATTTGATTGTGTGTATTACAAACAAATTAAATATTGCTACAAAACATAAATTAAATATAAAAAGCCGATAAAATGCAAAGATTTTGACCATAAAAGAAAAACGGGTCTTACTTAGAGTGGAGTACAGTATAGACCAGTAAAACCAGGCCAGGTACGAGGTATTAGTCGTTATCAACCATCGAGTTAGAATCTAGATTCTAACTCGATGTTATCAACATATGATTTGTGAGGTTATCGGCGGTTTTATTTAACACCAAGCACACAAAATTTTTTTTCTCTGTTTTTAGCAAGAAATTATTGATTCCTGCACTCCATCTACTTCAACAAGCTCTGAAATTCTCTCAGGGGCCTGCTACCTTTGCAGCAAAACATTTAAAAATGTAAAATTACGAAATCGTCATATCAAAAGAATGCATAACATAGATGTATCCAAGAAGAAAATGAATGATATAGTTTGTCCGTTATGTGAGCAAGAAACTAATTGTGAAAGTCATGAGAAGTTACGGAAACATCTCAATGACCACCACCAGGTGAATATTGAACTAATACCTTTTGAATTTTCTAGTAAACAAGAATAAGAGACATGGAAAGATATGCAGAAAATGAGATATTATACTATGAGTGTAACAGAAGTAATATCAATGGTAGGTGCAATACTTTGTTACTTGTAATAATTAAAGCTTATTCTTGTCTATTTTTAGGATATAAGCCCAACCATAAAATTAGGACATAGAAATCTGGTGGATCAATTAAAATTAAAGGATTGTGCCCTTCCAGGCTGCTCTGTACACTGGGAGATCAAGGACAAGTTTCTATCAGTTATTGGAAAACACATGCTGGACATAAAGAAGAATTAAGAACCATGCATCTCTCAAAAGCACAAGAAAAAACGATTGTAGAGAAGTTAATATCTGGGGTGTCACCCAGCAGAATTTTAGATGATTCAAGAAAATTGGAAACACCAAAACTAGAAAGACTTGCCCTATTAACAAGTCAAGATATCACAAATTTGTCCAGAAAGTATAATATACACAAAAAACAGGATCAAAATGATATGGTAGCAACAGCCTTAAAGGTTCAGGAATGGAATGCTAACAACAAGAATTATGCTTTCTTATTCAAGAAAGAAGGTAAACACCAAAAATTTTTAATACCTACCACATTTATACTACTTAATCTTGTGTGGCTGCTCATGTAACAATCCTTTTTATACAAGCAATAAACATTTTTAAATAATATAACTGCTAAGTTTGTAGTTACTGGCCTTTTACATAGCTAATTTTATTGTGGAGGTGGTGATAGTTTATAGGTCAAATTTACTGCTTTGTTACCTTTGCCTCCCTCATGTAATAAATCTCACTTGTCAAAATGAGTATAGCAAATTTACTGCTTTGTTACTTTGCCTCCTCATGTAATAAATCTCACTTGTCAAAATCAACAACTTTCACCCCTTAACTAACTATAGAGTTTTAAGTTACTTTCTTTTTATCATCATCATTGATACAACTTTTTTTGGTTCTTGGTCTATTTAAGAATACCTCCCAATTCTATTCTGTATTTTATAGTATGTTTGTCAAATTTTTGATTTTTAAAAGTGCCATGTAATGTTTTATTTGTTCCTTATATATACTCTTCAGTCTTCCTCTTGTTTTATGTCC